TTTGAAAAAAAAAGAAAAGAAGATTGAATGATTTCTTGTTTACAATGGTATAATCAAGGGCAAACTTTGATCCAAAGGAAAACATTGTGAAGTAGATGCACTTGTGCCAAAATTGGAAATTGATATTCTGACTCATCTGGAAGCCTAAACCCTTTCCAATAAAGACCTTTTTCCCCCCAGTAAATAGTTTTCATGGAAGCATTTAAGGAAAAAAATATTATTCTAAGCTTTTTCACATTGTTAATATTTTCAAGTGTTAAAGGCAAAAACACTTCTAGAGCAATGGCACACTGAATTCCACGGTATGTATTTTAGAGATGGGGGTTTTTATGACTGTCAGGGAAATTCTTAATATTTGAAGATTATTAAAGTTTGTCTGTTTACCTTAATTCGGGCAAACTATGAGAGAATTCTCTTCCCTTATGGCTTTTGTTCTTTTTCCATCTGTATCCTTTTTTATTTCACCAACACATTTGTCACTCTACTTCTGTCGTCTTCTGTCTTTCAACATGACACTAGCTGTCTAAACACTCTTGGCTTCACTAAGAACGAAATCAAGAAATTTCACTCCTCATTCCTCTCCTGAAAAAAAGATCCTGAAACTATACTGTTGGGAGACAATACACACTTTTGCTCCCGTTATGACCTCTGCAGTGTGCTTTCAGGGAATTCATGAATCTGTGCATAGTTGAGAAGGCAACACAGAAACAGAACATACTCGGGGTGGGTGGGGGTGGGTGGTTTTTTTTCTTCTTTTTTTTTCCCTTTTCTTTTCTTTAAATAAGCTACAGGACCAGTTCCAATTACCCTTGTGGATCTTCTAAGATAGCATATTATGTAAATGAATGAGCAATCTTCACTGCAGGCATATATACAGAGCTCACAGACAAATGGGAAAAAAAAAAAAAAAAAAGTCATGGGGTTCTTCCTCCCAGAAGCTTAGCTGAATCTCTTTTAAAAAGGTTTTAACTGGGTTTCATTCCCAGTGTGTCCCTTTACATCTAAAAGTGATTAAACAAGATTTACAGACAAATTAAATTATTTCCTATTTGTGAAATGCAATACTGTTACAATGAAGTGATTCCACAGATTTCACTTTTTGATCTTTAATTCCTTAAGAAAATTAATATAAGAATTAAAAGATTAAAGTGCTCAGTTTCAGCAAAGAACATATTCTCCATATACACTGTTAGCTTTCACAAGCAAATTCATCATTTTGGAGTTGGGGAACAGGGCTTACTATGGCAGATTATATAGGAATTACATAAAAAAAGAAAGGAACGCAAGGATGGAATAAGGGAAAATTCAATTTAGTTCTCAAAACTTTTTCTGGAATATGCTCCTCTCTTTCCTCAAAGAGAGAAATAAATTATTTCAAAATAACTCTGAACACAGTGACGATACACACCACTCAGTACGTGTGTGGGTGTGCGTTCTGTGAAGACAGCTGAAAAGTGAGCATCAGTCCTAGTGGAGATAACAGTGTAATACTAATCGTCTTTGCACCAAGTAGTGGGAGGAAAGCCATGCAAATCCTTTTCTTTTGTTTTAGTAGGGAAGCGGGATTTTCCAGATATCACTGATACATAACATAAAAATCAAGCAGGCTGGATTGTGGCCATATATGTGTGATAATCTTGTATATTGGCATACACACACATTCATATATATCACATACAGAGAATTTCCACATATGTTACAGTCTTCACATCCCCATAGTGTATCATTTATGTTCTAGATAGTCATGCAAAAATACCACTGACATTCATATAATACCTCTCTTCTAGCAAGGAACATAAGACCAGTATCTAATGTACCTATTAGAAAAACTGCATTGTGTTAGCACCTCAACGTTATGTTACAGAATAATGAAAGGTTAATGTGTTCATCTGTGTTTATTCATTGCTTTCCACAGAGGTCCAAAAATAAAATGCCTTGTACTGCATCCTCATTACATAAGTACTATACATATAGCATATGAATTCCTCTTCTGTTTCAGAGCAGTCAGAATTGGTACAAGTATTTTGAGGAAAGAAGAGGTTTAGTAGAACTTTGTTTTATCCTGAATAAGAACACTGCCTTGTAATGACTGTGTTGTAGAAATGTCAAGGCTGAAATTAGCAGTGGGTGGAGATCTCTTTAAGGGGAATTAAGTAAGTGGATAATGGAAGTGAAATACTCTTAGTGTGGCAAAAAAAAAAAAAAATCCTTGAACTCTGAGACAGTTTTCTTATTAATATTATAGAGGAGTTGAAGTAATTTTAAGAGGACTAACAAAACCTAAAGAAAGTTAAAATAATTTACGGATCATCATTTAGTACAGCTCTTGATGTTGCTACCTGTGGGTTAAAAGAGGAAGGCAGAAGGAAACAGTAACAGCAACATTGGTGAAGCGGTAACATTTTCATCTTCGACTTTCCAGCCTTGAAATTTGGTAGCATCAGAGATTAAGATGCAGACTTGACTGTGTCTGTTGCATAGATTTTACAGTCATTCATGACCCATGTAATGCAATGGCAAACATACCCTGAGTTTTGAAGTGGCAGCTGAGAATTAGGTTTTGTTTATCAACAAAAGAGCAGGAGTGTATGTTTGTGCTTCTTTAGAGACATAGCTTGTAAACATGCACTCCTAGGAACGTCACAAAAGACACACAAGGATCAGGGATCATAAGCGATAAAAGTGCAAAACTTGCATAGTTTCGGTAATTAAAGGTAATAAATAGTTGACCTCTAAGATAACCTGTAAAAAAATTCTACCTATATTTGTATTGTTAGAATAAACTTGTTTTGGACCAAACTCTCCCATGCAGCCAGAATACATAAAAACGTGGAACTACATGATTTCAGAGGCAGTTCAGTGAAGAACTGTTTCTCTTTCCTCCACCACGCTAGGGGGAAACAGGTGAAATAATATCCTCCAGAAGCCAGCCCCTTTCACAATTCCCTAAACTGACATCTATGTTCAGGCATTGGTCATTTCTTCTACAATCTTCTACTATAAAGTTTTCCCAGCTAAAGTTTTATCTTTTAATTAATCTGTCCTGACCTTCCTTTACCTTTTTCCCCTCCTCTCTCACCCTAACACTTTTCTCAATTATTTCACTTTCCCTCTCTTTCGTTAATATTTTACCTTTTATTCTCTTGCTCTCATTGCACTTTTACCATCTTTTAAACCTCACGTTAACCAAATCACTAGATTTTTATTCATTTGATCTTCTGACTAGGTTCCTGTCAAAGTTTTTGGTTTTTTTTTTTTCCTCATCTTCTTTACAGTGAATACTCCTTGGATAGGGGCCATGTCTGTACTAAGGATTATAAATAGTGCTTATATGCACAGATATGAATTATTTTTATAGTAGCCTTTGTGATCAGAAACCATCTTTTCTTGTCTGCATATATTTTCATTTTCTTTTTTCCTGCAATACCAAACAAGTCCCATTTATATAAGGATTAACTGCCTTCAATTTCCCTTCTTCCTCCTCCTTTCTTTTTTTTTTTCTTTTTTTTTTTTAATTTATTTTATTTATTTAAGCCATTTTCTTGCCTAGAGCTTGGCACAAATATCTTCTGAAAGCAGGTCCATATTATGTTTGTGCTGCTGTAAAATTAAAAGTAACTTAACAAATTAAACCTATGTTTTGGTAAAAGAACTAACATGTAGGCTTGAAAATTCACTTATCAGTTTTGGCACAACCAATTCAATGCAACCAAGATATGAAAATCTGTTGTAGAAGTGTTGATTAAAAAAAATGAAGCCTCAGGTATCACTGTCTAGTCAGCACACCATGCTTACATTTGAAAATGACCTGGTACAACTCATTGTGCTGAATGCGAGTGAGAGAATGGTTCTGGCTCCTCACATTCCTCCTCTTTTTAACTAAGACAGAATGGTGGTTTTGAAACTTTTTGATAGGGTGCTGCTTTATTTTACAAAGTGCCTTGGAACTCCCTCAATTATCTTGCTTTGACAGATGTAGACAAATTGCTGAAAAGCACATTATCCTCAACCTGATACTAGAAAACATTAGAATTTACTCTGCGTTTCATGACCTGCTTTTGATGTCTTTGCTTATAGCGAATTTTTATATTACCCTGAAATTGACTCTTTTGGTTTGATGGGCTTACTTCCCTTTTGCTTTACTGACAGCTAAAGATCACCTGCACTCGATATGTGTGTATCAGTGGGGACTGAGGACCTGAGTACGTAAATACGTACCTCTGTAAGTGCATACGTATACATTTGCAAACACAGAAAAAGGGACAAATTATGCCAAAAACCCTCTAATATACTAATCCATGAGGAAACAGATTCACACTAATCTAACAAAATGAATAAATATAAGTAAAAGGTATTAAGAAGATTATTTCCTACTTCTTTCTTTTTCTCCCCTTTCACACAGTTAATTTCCCATTTCACCATCTTTTTCCACAGCTTTCTCTGTTTTCCCCTTCCATCTTCCACGTAAATCCTATGGCGAATTGGTTAAGTCCACTCCAGAGTCTAACCATCAATTCCCAGACACAGCATCTTTCATTTCAATGTTTTTGGCTGATTAGGGTTGCACTTAAAGGAAAACAAGTAAGTACGTATCAACACACAGCAAGTGCTACATCTGTGTATGAAAATACACAAACAGATAATTAAACATCAACAAAATATCAATAGGATTAGAGTGTCATGTTGGAACAAATCTTGATAAATCCTTCTCAATAACAATACTCTAACTACTGTGTCATAAGGGGAATATAAATTTAGCCCATTAAAGTGTTGTTGGACAAAGAAAGACACATTAATGCATCTGTTAGTCATTTTCTTACTACTAAGGGACTCTAGTATTGTGCTGCAGATGAAAGCTTTGGCCAAGAAGAGATGTGAAAACATGCAAATTAATGCTAACAACATAATAAATATCTTATTATTCATCAACAACTCAATGGCATACTAGCATAGTTTAAATTGTGAGTAATCAAAGTTCGCCAACGTTTAGACATACATACCTACAACAGACATTTCTGGAACTGTGGCATGATATGGACCATCAACAAACTCTGGGGCGTTGTCATTGATGTCTTGAACCTTAATAATGAATTCTGAAGGAGGCTCCAGAGGTTTGTTTGTGTCCCTGTCGACTGCTTGAGCTGTTAGAGTGTATTCAGCTTTTTCCTCACGGTCAAGCCTTTTCATTGCATGAATGTCTCCAGTCTTGTCATTGATCACAAAGATTGTTCCAGCTCCATCTCCTGACAGAATATACTTGATTTTGCTGCTGCCAGGATCCAGGTCTGTGTGTAACTAAAAGGAAAAAAAAGCATTTTAGATACAAAAATTACACCCAGAATTTTTTTTGCATTGGTCTAACCATACATTTTGTCAAGCTATTCTTTTGTACTTTAATCTTAGCACCAATGATCCATATCTCAGCTTCAATACACAAGGAGAGTAGGGATTTGTACGCATACTAATCAAAAGTGAATGTAATCATAGGCATAATTAGACTTTCTATTTAAAAAGCAGCTGTTATATATATTTTAAATCCCTGTTCTAAAATGTAAATGCCTTCAGAACTATTAGCAGCCAAAATGAACAAGCACAAAATGTCCTTAACCTATTAGATCAAAGGGCGAATGAAGGACTAACAATAATATATATTTTAATGTAGTTTCTTATTTTTAGTTACTACTTTCAGCTTATTTTCAGGTGACTGAAAATGGCTGAACACTGGCATCTATGTATATGCTGTAATGGACAGCATTCACAGAAATTTAGAACCATATCACAACTTAGCTGTTAGCAGAACTTAAAAGGTTCTAAGATCTTTATTCTAAAAGTATTTCCCCTAAAAGAAAGCTTTGTTAAAGCAAGTTTCCAGAAATATAAGAACCCTTACACACATCTTCCCATTCTCCTCAATGCCCCATTATAAAAAATAATATCTAGGTTGTACTTGGCTTTTCAAAAAACAAGATAGGATTATGATAATCTGAAACATCATGGGAAAAATATGTTTTCTTCTTTACTTTGATTTTTTTTTTATTAATTAAAAGCCTGAACTGAAGAACGCTGGAGACAAACAAAGGACTTCCATTGATTTTTGTAGGCTCAGAGCCAAGTACTAAATATCAGATTATCTCCAATAATTTTTAATTTGCGAGGGCGACCGCACCAATTGGTGGACCATATGTATTAATGTCAACACATTCAAAAATACAGGATAATAACTTAAATATACAGTAATAGTGCTTTGAATTCTATTTACTATTAAATCTAACACACTCAATATGAACAATAAGAAGTGAATAACGTCATTAAAAATGTAACTTTCATTTATTATTATTTATCTCTCCCTCACAAAAGATAGTCTGAAGGAAATACGTACAACCTGTTTAGGATAGCTGCAACATGACTTACAACAACTACTACTAGACTTGTTCCTGTTTGCTCATTTTTGTGCAGACAGCTCAACAGAAATTGTTGCTGGTTATGCATTTTACTCTTCAATTGATAGCAGTGGTTGCTAGGGCCGAGCAGCATTATCATTTGATATAAGAAGCTGTATTAGGATATTAAAATAGGTGTGGGAAAAAAAGCCTTGTAACACTGGCTACAGCCAAGCCACAAGTAGATTTTTATGTCATACCACAAGTAGGCTCTGCAGGTTCTTCAGCAGATAATTGGTCACATAGAGTTACATCTGCAAATTAGCTGTTTGGGAATAAGAGCTCAGAAAACTCGTTAACAACACCTTACAAAAAAGGAATCTCGAATTGTTGCAATGAGCGCAGCAGACAACGGCAGTCAGGTCTGATTTTCCAGTTGATCTGGTTTATTATACGTACAAAATCCTGGGCCACCAGTGTATTCTCTGCTCTGCAATAATAGCAGAACTCCCACTGACTACAAGAGGTATAACTTCATCCTCTGTGTTTTACTGGGCAACACATTATTACCACACCAGCTATTACCACACTATTGTTTTAACAACTTTTTAAAAGCACTTTGACTGTCTGTGAATATGAATGACTCAATCCAGTTCACTCTTCTTACCCTACCCACGTGAACGTACACATAGACATCAAGTGATAGCTGAGTCCTTTTTCCAAAAACTCAATCTGTTTTTCTTTTTGTAGCTGCCATCAGCTTTTACTTGAGAACAATCAGTATAATTTACGTTATGTTAATTTAAGTTAACAGCACTCTCCTGTTGCTTGGTACTGCAGTTTTGTCTGCTCAGTAAGACATGTTAATACAACTTTTTTTTTGTCTTAAATGTTATTGTCCTTATGAGCAGGATTATACTCAATTTAGGTGTCAGAAACACAAAGAATTATTTTCAGGGTCCCGGAGCCTGTCAAGATCAATCCAGAATCTGTCTGTGTTTTAAACAGATTGTTTACACTTTAAGCATCTGTTTGATCGCTAAATAAAATCTATACATTATTAACATTGCATATGAAGGATTTGGCAGAATATTCATAGCTGAATTACAGTGTTGTCACATCACAACATTGTCTGGACACACACAACTCAGCAAGCAATTGGGAACATCTCGGTTCACCCAACTACACAGAGCCTTACAGTGAAAAACTATAATCTGAATTTCTAAGGTGGCACTGGCTGGATAAACTAGATATGCCACACAGATATTTGAGAATGCTCAAAGATCCTCCAGTTTGCTATTTGCTAATAAGTAGGAAAGGCTGTCAGTATAATCTCTGGTGTAACTTTTACCCACATTATCCGACAGAAATTATGGTTCACAAATCAGTTCTGGTAACACTTTACAGTGCTAGTAAGATACCAACAGTTAAAATGAAAAAAAGTCTATGGTCACTATTAGTTGCTTCTTCTAATAAGTTAAAGTCCTTTGTATCAAAAGAAAGAAACAGATACTGCTATTTGAAACACTATAAAATGAAGGGCTAAACACTAAACAAAAAGTGCAAGAGCTAGAAGCATTTTACAATCTTAAATTTGAAACTGAGTCTGATTAGCAGAAAATCAGTTTTTTACCTAAATATTAATAGTGGCAAAAACGATAGTAGTTTTTTTTGTTGTGTTTTTTTTTTTTTTTTTAGTTTTTAAAAAAAAAAAAAGCCATAAACATGGCATTTACTGAAATCATGTACTTTTTATGGTGATCATCCGGCTGACAGATTAAAATATCTTTTCTAGGTTTTGAAGTTCTTACACTCTAATATCAAAATATTATAATAAATGACCTATGGAAAAGCCATTTTTCCAAAATCATTTCATTGTTTGAATTTAGGATTAAAACATCATCTACTTAGAATGTTAAATCATAGAAATAAAGTGAAATCCTAAGCCAGAAAGCATAGTATTTTTTTCAAGTAATATTTCCTCTCTTCTACCAGATGTGAATGATAATTTACAGCAATCATCAAGCTTCAGCAAGCTGTATTCATGTGAAGGTTAAAGATCATTAAACACATAATTATATAGGGTCTAGGTGAATGGTAGAGAGGCATAATGAATATGATAAATGAATAATGATTTCTGCTGAAAAAGCCTCACAAATGTTGTAAATGTGAAACTGCTTTCCACACCTGTAGCTTTATTTGTTGCGCCTGTGCTTGAAAGCTGACCTCTTATTTTTCAGAGCAATATCGAGAAATGTAACAAGAATTTCTATTTAAAACAGGAGATATCTGTAGCTCGCCCCTATGTTCCACTACTAGACAGCATCCTAAAACAGAAAAGCATGGTTACTGGAAAACTTAAATCACGTTCAGAGTGAGTCAAACTCACTTCTTTTATGGGAGATTCAATTAATTAGACTTCAAAGGAAGTGAAATCTTCTTCCTCCATCACTGCCCTGCCTGTAGGACTATAAATCCAAATACCTCTCTCCCTTAAAGTAGCAGATGCAACCCCACTACCCAATTCATGCCTGGATTTATGGCAACGGGAGAGGTTTTGGATTCTCTCTTAGTTTTAATGGTGATGCAGATGCCCTGTGTTAATACCCTACTAATGGCTCCCATGTAGCCTCAGCACAGATCCATTCCCAAACAATGAACTTCATTCAAAATGAACCCTCTGAACACGACAGTTTCTAATTATTATTAATTCCTTTACTATTCTATATTATAATACAGATGATAATCAATGCAGCCAGTATTGACGGTAACAGCACAGTGTACTTCCACAAAACTAACGTTATTTTCACTAATAATGAATGCATATCTAAAAGTATTCCCAACACACTATTCAAATATATAACATATATTTATAGTCTCCCACGTACATACATTACAAACATGCATAATTACAATCAATGCAAGAGAAACTGCAGAGATGAAACTTACTCAAAGAGCCTCTATATTCTGCAGATGTAAATGTACTACTCTGCAGTAAAAAACAAATACATGCGCATGTTACTGATATTACATTCTTCTATTCCATAGATATTTGTTCATCATATTTTTAACCACATTTTCTTAACAAATACTTGGTTCAAAACTATGTATGCAGCCAAGGACTTCATGTATGGATGAAGGCTGCAGAAGCTCCGAGCTAGGTTTGTGAAGTTCTTTTGCAATTCTGAGTACACAGGGAGATTTATGAGTCTCTTCTGCAGATGACGACTGTCTCACTTGCTCTCAGTCAGCTACCTGGCAAATCAATGGTAGTCAAAACAGCAGCTTGCTCAGCACAATGAATTTCATGTTCAAGCCATGTGTTCACCATCAGGAAAGTACATAATGCACTTGGGTCTGGTCCATACCCAGAATTAGCAGAAAGCTGTTGACTGGCCTTTGTAGTAGGACTGGGCACTTCAAGTCCTCTCTAGGTGTGCTGTTGATGCACAACTTGACACAGACTGGCCCGTAATGAGATGCATCATCAAAGGGAGGATTTGGAACCCCAATTTCCTCATATTAGTAAAAAGCATAAATATGTCAATAATTCACAAGAGGGGGGAAATCTACATATTATGAAAATGCTCCTGGACATTTTTAATTAAGAAAAGAGAAGAAGGCATTATGTAGTCAAGTTTTTATTTGAGTTTGTTAAAAAGTAATTAATTCATCCTCGTGTAATTACAAGGGAATTACCCCTTACTTGTTTCAAGGGAAAAGGCATAATCTGCCCTTAGAACTTCATTTTAAAATTTGCATCATTCTTCTCCTTCCTAACTCTGGAATCTTTTTTAAGAGATTAACTAGTGCATCACTGATTTTCACCTGATGTTACACAGATACACACACAGCACACCAACACTATCCTAATGCGTCAGGTTCTTCTATTTTTTACCTATGCCTTGCAATAAA